TCGCTCCATTCCATCTCCCCTCCCCTGGAAGAACGTGAACACCCAATATTCAGCGGTTGGTTTTAGATTGATTCAAATAAATGAGTAGTTAATTATCTCAAAACTCCGAAATTCGAGTTAGCGGTCCGTCGGTACTCGCAACTTTTGCGATCATTATTGGTGTGGAACGTAGACTGCCATGCCCTAATTACTTTGACACCATAGTGTTATGTTGAGTCAACTAGCAAGTGCTAGTGACGGTTCCGTGCGCGATGCCGCACCGCGGATGTCCTGACCTACATTTGCTTAAAGACCGTGCTCTTGGGATTATTCTTATTGTAAGCTCGCGGTTAATTGCACTGTTCGCATGAAATAAGCTATCATCTGATTTAGTTAGAATATGTGATCATGGCAAGTTAAGAGCCGGTCTCGCGCCCCGAAATGACGTGTTCGCTGATATTTTTTGGAAAATCTTGTGATTATTTAAAATGTGTAGTTCTAGCGTGCAGCATTTGAAATACATGTACTAGTCTCATTATAAATATAACTGAGATAACAGTGATGGTAATAATAGTTGTTTTTCATTTATCGTGATGTCTCATAGATTACTTCAACATGTGTCTCGTTTATTTTTTCTCCCCGTTGTATAAAGGGTTTCTTCGTTTTTTTTTCGGTGCTGATTTGCTTGTCTATCGATTTCTTGGAATCGGGCGTATCTTATCTATTCAGATGAATGAATAAGCTTTCATTGCAAATTCGTTCATGGAAATTGCGAACCGACCTCAGTAGACAGATTTCTGTTGTTGAACTCATTTCTGTTATTAGGAATAAATTCTGGGCACCAGTCTTTGAGAAGATGTCGCTTCTAGTCAAAAGCTTCAAGGTTAGTGACATGCTACATTAGTTTTATTTTTGGTGTGTAATTATTTTTGGTACAGTTCGGCTTGGTGGGGAGATTTGCTGGCAGCTGTCGATCACTGTTGATGCCCCCAGTTGGATACCTGTAAATTCCTGTGGAGCTGTGCAGTAACAGGTGCTTTGTTTGCACTTACCATGAGCCTACAAGTTTCACCAAGTTGAGACCTGTGATTCACAGCGGATGTGGAAGATACCCCTCCAGAGCCGAACAGCGCCTTATTTTCTGCTATTCTACTATTTTACTGCTTTAATCGGCTAGCTTTGAGAATCAGCTTTTACATAAGGCGATCTTTACTTGTTGGAGAATATACTGTTTCAGCTACCAGCCCCAGCGCTCACAGCGGCCGCAGCGGTTTCTCAACGTCGTATGAACAGTGGTGGTGATGTGACATTTCATACAAAGGTACCGTTTTTTGTTCACTGATGGCTATGTTTCGTAATAGCGGGAACTTTCTTTCTTGAAGTAAACTCGGCGCTAATCCAATAAGCAGGGTTATTAGTTTAACACGACGTAGTTTGAGACATCCGTGCCGCTGCACCTTTTGGTAATTGGCAGACTATTTCCTAGCCGGTTGACTGGGCATATTGCAGCACTGACACGTTGAATTCAATGGGTCCTGGCGCGAGGGCTGCGCACGTGACAGCATGCACGGTTACACGGCTGTTGTCGAACCGGACATGCTCTCGTTGCGAGGGTTCAGAGGTATTTTCTCATTGCATCTACTAGCCCAGTAGTTGAAGGGAAGAAGGTCAAGAAGGAGGGAACAGAGAAGGAAGGAAGGAAGAGAAGATGGAGGAAGAAAAAAGGAAAGAGAAGAGAGGCCCGCGGTTGAAAACTGCCCTGAGACGAGCATGCACAGCGCCTCTGCCTTCCCGTTCCCTTTCCTCTCCCCCTCAGCCCACTCGCCCCCCTTAAGCCACGGCATTTTGATGCAGACCACTCAGGACGAACTACGGCTAACATTTTCTTTCATCATGATCCTTCGGTAAAAACACCCTTCTAGCTTTGAGTGAATATCTTTTTGCATCATGAGTTTGCCGTCAGCCCTCGCTGTTCTCCCAAGATAGTAGTGGAATTCCCTCCTCTCCTACCTAACTCGCAGTTATTCGTATTTGCACGGTTCGTCGCATACATTCTAACAAATGGGAATGTACCGAGGAGAAGCTGGAAACGTTAGGCATTTAGCTTGGGCTGTGAGAACAGGTTTACATTCATCGGCAGAGACTGTTTCACCTAAATACCCCGCGTTTCTGAAATGTCTAGTGATCTTGTTTCTGAAACCCAATACTGCGGCGTTTCCGTATATTGCAACTTAGACAACCAAGTTATTTGTTTTCTTCAGGGGTACAAATTGCACAAACTCGACCAAGGTCCCAGCACTACGGTCACCTTGAATAGCAAAGACGCACTACTCTTCTACAGGCAGATGCAGGTAAAAAACCTCGAATTTTTGTGATTTCACCGTTTATTTGCTTGTTTTGGTGGAACTTTTATGTAAAGTCTATAAGTAGCTTACGAGATCGATTGAATTTAGCTTATCCGACGTATGGAGTCAGCCGCTTCGAATCTGTATAAGGAGAAGAAGATTGGTGGTTTCTGCCATCTGTACTCCGGGCAGGTAATATTTGCATCTAACTTTCGACCCAGAACGCATCGTGGCCTGCCCTCGCACTCTCGCTTCACCAGCTCACGAATAGCATCCTACTTTTTCAATTTTTTAATTGGCATCCCTCATTGCTTACATTTATTTATGATTTCCAAGAGCATACTGATTGAAGGGGAGTGTAGAATCGTGGGTAGTCAGCTTGTCCTTCCCATCAGTGAATGCTGTTTTCAGCATGCCAAATGCGTACCCCCTCCCGTCTCGAATTCCAACTATCGTCATGGAATACTGGTCCGTTACGAAACGAAATCTAAAGAGGTGGCCTCATTGCTTCAACTCCATAGGAATGTTGGAATGCGCCTCCTTTGTGTCACTGTAGTGCATAAATCAGCGGGCTCCGCTCGGCTTGATGAGGGCACATTGTGGGTTCCCATCGAACGCCGTCCATGCTTCTGTGGAGCCCTTCAAAATCTTGTAAAATTTTGCAGTAGCCCTAGCTTCGCTCTTACTTGACAGCTGTCTGCTGGCCTTACCGAGGTGAGACGTTTAACTTATCTGGAACTAGCAAGGGAAACGTGCGAAAGTGGGGATGCACCCCGTCTCTCCCGCCCCGCGGCCAAACAGCACTCATGATTCTTCTGATCTTACATTCGAGTGTCCTCTCAAGGAGGAGTCGTTGATTTCTATTGAAATAGGAAAATAATAGCGGTAAAATTCCATTTACATCTTCAGGAAGCTTGTGCTGTTGGCACAAAAGCGGCTATGGAGGAGGGTGATGCCGTAATCACCTCATATCGTTGCCATGGGTGGACCCTGTTGCACGGCGCTACTGTAGCGCAAGTTCTGTCAGAGCTCACCGGTCAGTCTCTCTTCCATATAAAGAAAATGTGCTGACTGTTACCTAATCAAGGAGTTCCGAGGAGATTTCATCACGACTGCTCGAAAAATTGCATTTTCATGACCTGTACTTATTTTTTAACAGCAATAAGGCAAAGTGATATATAAGATGGAAAATGGAGTCTACGGCGGTATACTGAATTGTTTCTGAAAGTAAGCTCTCGCTGATTTCGCCGAGCCTTTTTTGATATTCGCGAAGGCTCTGGACAAGGCTTGTGTTGAGCATTTCTAAGCAGTTCATGATCCTTTCGGTCATCTCTTCGATTCTTTCTGTGCGCAATCCCTTGATGTATAGCAGACTTTAAAAACCTGATCCCCTGAACCTGAAAGCTGTCCAAGGTTTCATAGCCAT